TCTATACCGTTGCAGGTAAACACACATGATGAGTATAGAAGCTGTAGATGCAGTGCATGGATGATAAAAGAGGATTGATACTTTCAAATAACAGGTCAAGAACCTGGTTCTTGTACCAAAGGTTAGTAGTTCTGTGCATTCTTTAATACACGTCTTAAAAAGGGTACAAAACACAACTGCCATGTCATCCAACTTTTCAGACTCTGGTGTCACGTCTCTTCACTTCAAATCATTCCATCTCCCTCTGAAACGTTGCACTTCTCCACGCCCAACCGCCGTTTCAAAACCGATCCCTATCTCTCTCCTCATAATTATCCATTCTTCATAAAACCCTCCTTTGTTTTCCACAAACCATAAGTCCTCTATTAGAACTTCCCAAAGCACCTTCACTCCATCTTTCCATGGCTGATACAAACCCCGACCTCCCTGCCTCAGTCATCTCTGTTACTGAAAAACCTATGGAGTTCTCCGTCCCTTCTGAGTCTTTTATGGTCACTCCTACTCTCCCTGCTGAAATCACACCGCACCCAAATTCTCCGTCTCTTTCCATTTCAGAAACCCCTAAAGATACTGATCTGTCCCCTCTATCTTCTGCTATACCTACTAATCAAAGAACAAGTGGAGAACAAAGTAAAAGGCATGAGGTCACAGAGGGTTCCGCCATTGTTGCTGCAGATTCCGTGGTGGCAGAAGTGCCGATTGAGAAAGAGAATGTTGTAACCATCTTCGCGGTATCTGCTGATGGTGTCCTTCAGGAGATAATCACTCAGAAAAACACGGTACAGGGTATGGGGGATAAAGGAGCCATAGTGCCAGTTGAGGACGCTGCACTAGCAGACACTACTGGGCTCTCACATGAGGAACCTGATCCCTCTCCGGAGGACCCAGGTCAGGATTCTCATTCCCAGGACAGTTCTGCTCCTGCATTTGATGTTGCGCCTCTGGACATTCAAGCTCCTGAGATGAGGTTCAGTGATGACGAGAATCTAGATAACCTGGCTCTCGATGCGTTCATAGTTAAGCGGAGGGTTGTGTCCACTCCTAAGTCTTCCACCAAACGACCTACTACCAGGCTGCAGGCTAAGGTAGCCTACGACTCTGCCCTTCAAAAGAGCAGAAAAAGTAGTAAGAAGCAAAGGAGGAAGCTGGTGAAAGATAGTGTGCCCGTAATTGATAAAGCAATCCCAGTGGTAGAGGTGGAAGAGGAAACACCAGATGAACCTGGTTCACTGGTTAGACGGTCTCAGAAAAAGAAGCAGCCTGCTTCAGTAGAGAAGGTTTCAACTTCTAACTCCAAGTTGAAGGATGTTGTGCGTGAGTCTTCGTTGACTGATGAGGATGTGTTAGTCAGATCCAAGGGAAAGGAGAAATCAAGTGGTGGGAAGTCCAGCAAACGCAAGTCTGAAATTGATCAGGAACCTGGTTCCTTGAAGAGAATGAGAAGTGAAGTCAGCTTTGGTTCAGAACGCCTACGGCACCAAAAGGTTCTGCTGGGTCGTACGTTTGACCCAGCAATCTCTGAGATGGCTGGTATGCGCCAAATTCTTGAAATGGTTGAGTTTCAACAATGGGGGAATCTATTCCAAATAGATGCACCTAAGGCATATGAGGATGAGGTACAAAGCTTCTTTGCTAGCCTTTTTCCCGTTGAGACCGACCACATCTGTGCTTTGGTGAATGGAGTAGATATCGTGTTCGATGTAAAGTTGCTTGGAGAAATTCTTGAAGTTCCAACAGTTGGTGTGTCCAGTGTACGGGATGTGTGTCAGTTTAACTTCAGAAATGCCGTGGTCAAAGACAACGCGAACCAAAAGGGGGACCAGATCCATAAGAAGGCGTTACTTCCTGTCTATCAACTGCTTTTTGAATTGGTAAACAAAGTTCTATTGCCTCGAGCTGAGAGGAGGTCCGTAACCTCTAAGTCTGACCTGTTCTTAATGGAGCAACTGGATAGCTTTACTCCTATAAGCCTGCCTGCTATTATGATTGAAAATATGCAAAAGGTAGCCACCTTCAAAGATGGTAATCATGGCCTTCCCTACGGGTTTTTGCTTACGCAAGTGTTTAAGTTCTTTGAAGTGACATTGGGGCAAGGCAAGGTGGGGACTAAAAAGCAGACTTTCTCACAGACAACATTAGAAGAATGTGAATGCATAGAGAAAAATAAGGGGTAGGAAGTACATCAACCGTCTCACAGCTCATTACCGCTCCGAATAGTGCAATTGAAGAGATTTGTCGGTTGAAGGCTAGGAATGCTATCCTGGAAGGTCAGCAAGCCCAAGGGGCTCCTGCGTCAAATGATGAAGTAGCTCGTTTGACAAAAGAGAATGATGATCTCAGGGCGCAAGTACAGAACCTGAAAGAAGAACTGCTCCATGAGCAAAAGTCGGCCAATGCCCGAATAGACCTGGTTCTCCAAACACTTGCTCAGCCTCCAAGCCCTCTACTCCTAGTGCCCCCTAAGTACCCCTTCAGTGACCAGTGTCTGGAAATGTCCTTTAAGTTTTTTTTGATTGGCAGATGTTTTGTTTTCTTTTTTTTATGTGGTTGGGATGAAACGGTATTGCTCCTGTCGTAACAGTGCAATATTGCCTTTGCTTTTAAGCAAAGGCATATTAAATTTTATTAATATCAAATCTATCCTCTTTTATTATCTCATTGCTTAAATTCTATGTTTCTCTTCTCTATCATGACTGTGTGCACATATGTGGCATGAGTTAGCTCGGCTAGACTTCTTTCTGTTGTTTATCTGTTTCTGTCTTTTTAATGATGCCAAAAGGGGGAATAAGATATAATGAGCAATAAGGAAGGCGTAAATTCAGGGGGAACTACTTCAATAAGGAAGGCATAAAGTCAGGGGGGAAATGTTAATTAATCGGGTTCTCCTTGCTGTAAATCCACGTTATCAATGTTAAGTTTGTCATCATCAAAAAGGGGGAAATTGATAGGTTTTCAATGTCTTTGCTTTACGTTTTGATGATCTAACAAACTTACTGTCAAGGACCAGATAGGGAACCTGACACACTTGGACTACACTGCAAGTTAACGGATTCCAGCTAAATGTGAACTGCTATAGCTTCAGGAGATAGGAAACCAAACAAGGACCCGATACCCTTGCGGTTCTCTCATAGCAGTACAAAGTCAATTGGACACAGCTGGAAGCGACGTGACTGTCTCCACTGTTTCTGCATGTACTGCACTGCTTCCAGTGCCCACTTATTTCTTGACCAACTAAAGTGCTTACATCATGTCAAGTGATGTCATCAAGGTGTATCAACAATGAGTTCATATCAAAATATCACTGGAACATTTCGGTTCCCCATTCAAGCCTTTGCAAAACAGAGAAATTAATTCTCACGAGCTTGAAGAACAAAGTTAAACGCTACTACGGACCAGTTCCTAAAGTTAGCATGTTGTTGTCCTTAGTTTGAGTTGTAACTTTGTTATTATTCTTATTGTATCTCCTAAACTGCTTAGCCTGAAGCGTTGATTAGGAATCCTCTTGTAAAATTCGTAAACTCTCAGAGTTTATGTTGTGACTAGGTTTATTCATAAGTTAAAGTCTTTGTTACTAGAGAGTAGCAAAGTGGCTTGTGGTGAGAGTATCACAAGTTAGTCAAATCCTTTGTAACTAGAGAGTAAAAAAGTGGCTTGTGGTGAGAGTACCACTAGTTAGTTGTGTTGAATTCTTTGTAATGGAGTCATTACAAAGTGGCTTGTAATAGGTGTTTACAAGTTAGTAAAGTTGAAAGTCTACAGGTGTAGGTCGTGGTTTTTGTCCCCTTGAGTTGGAATTTTTTCACATAAAAATCCTGTGTCTCATTTACTTACTGTTTTGTTAGTATTCTCAGCATAACCTTGTAAAGGACCAGGTACTATACTGTTTGGTGGACTCATACAAACTAACAATTGCTTAAAAGAGTTAATATGTACTTAATTGGAGTGAGTACCTATTAACTTAGAATTGTTCTAGCTAAATTTTGTATGATTTATTATGATATATGTGCATAAATTTTCAGATTTTTGTGTTATTCTTATGTCATTTTCATGTTTGAAAATTCATAAAGAAGCAAGAAAGCAAGAATCTTTAGAAATATTTTTGAATGTTTATTTCATTCTTATGCCATGCTTTACATTTAAGGATATCAGTATGAGTATGTATAGGATGTTCCAGAAAAGATTTAGACTTGAAAACTCGCAAGAAGAAGTTTTAGATAGAAAAGATTCTTGGGAGTATCCTCTATTCTGAGAAGGGGTCATCGTCCAGGCCGAGGGTCCTACCAAGACGTTGACTTCCTGAAACTACTTGCACAATTTCTAAAAGAATTATTTGTTTACCAAAAGGCCCTCAAAACTAGTACATCACTCTATCTTTTTAAAAGAAACATATGTCGAGGAATGTTTTATATGAAAAAGTTTTAAAAAGATTATTTGATTTGTAATATAGAACTGAATATTTATTTATAAAAAATAAAATATGCTAAGTATTTATTTATTTACTATGGATATAATTTTATTTCTCACTATTTGAATTATTTTAAAACATATTTTAATCAAGCATAAATTTTGAAGGAGAATTTTGTCTTTAACTAAATTAATGCATGCATTAAAACCCATTGCATTGCTAATACCATGGTTTCCTATGCATTAATTATGCATAGGATAATACCAAATAGAGTGTAAAACTAATGCTTGCATAACTAATGCTTGTATAACTAATGCATAGGTTCAAAAAGTGTACCAAACAAGGTATTATTAATACACAAAGATAATGCATGCATTATTTTATCTAATGCATCCTACCAAACGACGCCCTTAGTTCTGACCATTTCTGGACCTGTCTTTTATACCGTTTCCAACTCAATGGAGAATATCTCCACTCTTGCAATTCCACCTCCCTTGGCTTATAACAGGATAAAAAAGTCGAGTCTTGACTGTAGACCCTCTCACTCTGCCCTATATTCTCTTGGGCAAAATATCAAATAAACAGACTCGAAAGCTTTGAGTAGATGATTCAAACTATTGAAAGCTGACAATAAAACAGAGTCTTACCAATTGGTTACACCTTCATTGGTTGCAATAGGAGTGGAATGTGCCTATATCTTTATTAAGTCATTTATATCAGATGAAATCAACAATGGTAACCTATTTTTACCTATACAAAAAAATTGTTTTGTACAAAGCAATGCAAAAACCAATTATCCAATCAAATCCAATTATATCTCACCATATTTTGCATAGTCCAACAGCTGAATCCGTGCAACATGCCAACACGTGCGGAAAGGGCAAACCAGCAAAGAAAACAAAAACACCAATGACTTGAGAATCGGACATACTCCCTTCACAATAAAATATATTCTCTAAGCTTTATAGGCGATGTGTTCTTGTAACCGAATATACCCTCAAGATTCAACTATGTTAAGCCTACAACAGAATCATTGCCCTCCATCTCATGCCAGTTTAACACCTGACCGCATGTGGCATCTGCGTTTCCACATAAATCTTATAAGACAGGACGAATGGAAAAAGCTGAGCCGTGTCAGCTGTATATGCCAAAAATCCCTTGCTCAACTATTACTAAAACTTTTTAGCATCTTTAAGCTGCTACAGCTACCTTCTTAACTCCTTTCTTCTCTGTTTTAAGAGGGGATGCCACTTCAGGTTTCTCAATTCCTTGTATATCCGTAATCCTCAATTTTGTTAATTCCTAAAAATGAATAGGAAAAGAGGATGAGAAGTAACAACGTGTATAAAACATAGCTGTGTTTCAGGCAGTATTTTCATAGTGGATGAATCAATGACTAACCTGTCGATGTCCTCGTGTTCGTCGATAATTCTTCCGTCTCTTCTTCTTGAATATAAGTACTTTAGCATCTAATGCCTGGACCAAGAGAAGGACAGATTAAATTTCCTAATCTATCTGGAATGAAATAAGATGTGTGTGTGCATATATGAAGCAAGTTATGCAAACATCCAAGCTCAATGCCTGAAGAACTGAACCTAGTTCCACATCTATGGCATTCCTCGAATAAGCTCAGCAAGATCCAATAAGTAATATAATTGAAGCTAACAGTTATAACTAATGAAAAATGAAGTTCTGTTAATTACACAAACCATTCTTGAGGTATTGTATATTACTAATAGCAGTCCACTTACCATAAGTGGTTACAGGTAGTGCAATATATGCAATACCTGTTCAACAGTGACGAAAAATAGATCATTAAAAAAAATAACAACAATTACGCCTCAGTCCCAAACAAGTCGGGGCCGGCTCTCGGTGAACCTTTTTTTTCCTTGGGATAAGTATTCCTCTCAATTAACCTACTTATAGAATTCATTCAAATACGAACTTCTTCTTTTAATACTGTATATTTTAAAGGATTAAAAAGTGGTTTATGAGGAAATTGCTAATCCAACTTCTCAAACTTCATGGGAACTGACATAACAGTCACTTACAAGTCAACCAGAAAATACACAAGTAAATATGCAAACAACCTAAAGGCAAAGGTAGACTCATGGCACAACTATCTTACGTGCTCCTCAACGACAGCATGAACAGCTGCATCCGGCAATATAGGCCTGCCAATGATTGTCTGAGTCGTTGAGCCCAGCAGCAAAACCTTGTTTAGTATTAACTGAACACAAAAAATGACATAGTTATGCACTCACGTGACAGTAATTCCAATGTACAAGCATTTTTCACAAGTAAAAGACAGGCAAAAACTAAAGTGAGAAAGGGGAAGCACATAGCAAGCTTCATCAGGGTCAAGGTCTCATGCGCAACGTGATTCTGCACTTTGAAGCTTATCTTGTGCTTCAGCTTGTATTAGAACTAAAACCTATCAATAAACACAAGCCAAATTATATTTAAGGGTGATAAGTTGGTTCCTCTCTCCTTTCTATTAAAACTGCCATAAGATTTGTTTTCTAAACAATTTCTATGGTGGTAGTTACTTCTAACTAAGTCGGAAACCAAAAAAATTAGCATCTTCCTTTAGCATCGAAAGATATCAAAGCCAATTAGTTTCATATGGATTATGGAACCGAAGACTTTTGTGCATGCACATCTCAAAAGAGATCCATTTCCAGCAATATAATTCAAGTCTCCTTTTTTACTTTACATAATTTTAGAACAGAAGGCATACTACCCTTTTTTAATTATAAACACTTGTCAATTCTTCTCCAATGTAAGTACGTAACAAATAGTCTCATTAACCCTTTTACAGTATTATACCTGAATATTAAAATAAGGAAACTCATTTGCAATAATATCTAGGATACACAGAAAATATTATAAGGCTGTTTCATCGCAATAACATGGATTAATAGCTTTCTCAAAGTCCCAATGGTCTAACTTGCATTTACTTGCTACCATAAAAAAACTGAAGATTAAAGAATAAACTGATGACAGGAGAAAGAATCATGGTTTTCAAAAAAAAATAGTAGCTTGTTTTCTTAATCAAATGAAAGTTGCATGGTTTTATGAAAAAGACCTCTTTAATTAAGGAAAACTACAGAGGAATTATGGGGCTATTACATAACAAGAGGAGGGTAATTATCAAATTTCAAAAACAATAAAAGGGCAACTTCCTTTTCCCCCTTTTCATCAAGCATCAGATATGTTAAAAATAGATTTATGAAATTCCCCGCATCTAATAATAAATATCTTAAACTTTTTTCCACGTATATCACCACTTCATTGATGTTATAGACATACTTTTTTCTCAACTTTTTCCTTAAGAATTGCTCTGGAGCCTTCTCTTTCAAGTAATGCCAATTGATGCAAGGTCAGTAGTAAATAATCTATTGAGAAGAGCAAAGATAAAAGTAGTGGACTGAGACCTAACACATTTGCTCAAAGAACTAAGGAGATCATCAACTAGCTCCTACAGTCCTAAATAAGGTTTGATAGAAATTGAGCATCTAACACATCCAGCTCCTACAGTCCTAAATAAGGTTTGATAGAAATTGAGCATTTAACACATCCAGAGGGACGAGGCACATAAAGCTCAAATAAGCACTTAGAGTATCCCTTTACCCTATCATTCCTTACTTGAACAAACAACAGAGCTTAAAAACAACGATACATGGTCACAATCCAACCAGGCCTTTGATAGCCACAACCCTAAACTCAGCCTTTAGTTTTTTTCCTGATGTAATTTCAGCAGTTAGGCACAATTGTAGTATGAGGGCAGCGGCTGCATCTGCACTGCACATTCTGCATTTGATTTTAACTATATGAACTGTTGAACAATTTTTAAGACATATATTTTTACTAAGTTAGCGCCCGCTGCTACGACGTCCTCAAGGTGCCTTCTGTTAGTGTTATGTATAAGAAAAAGACATCAACTCTGTACACAACTTCCAGAAAGCAAGAACCCAACTTACCTTGTCATTAACTTCGCAGAACTTCAGTTTCTCAGTAAAAATGGAATCACCATTGCTCACTTTAAACTGGTGAGAACCAATCTACATAACAAAAGACAACAGTTTCAATTCTGTAAAGGTCACAATTAAAGATACCAAATTTATCACTAAACGTATATAATCTATAGTGTTAAAAAACTTCTAATATATTAAGTTAATCAAAAATAGCATAGACATTATGTAGTCGACCCCAACTAGTTTGGGATTATAAGGTATACAGGAAACAGTAATTAACCTGAACAACGGCGAAAACGGGTTCATATGGTTTGAAGACCCGGTCCGATTTCTGAAGTTCAGCTGCCTCGTGTTCTTTCTCCTCTGGAGTGTACTCTCTGCTGGGCTCAATATTCGACTCCACGTCATGATCATCATCATCAGTTTCTTCTTCACTTCCCTCCTCGTCATCATCGCTATTGATCGGTCGATTGGAACAGAAATGCCTGTGGAAAGATGAAATTTTAGTGGTAACGTTGGGGCATTTGGGAGAGGGAGTGAGGGCGTCAACGGATTTGAGTATTTGTGGGGTTAGGGTTTGCGGCGAAATGGAAGTGAGGGAATGGAGAGATGATGGGTTTGGAGAGAGAAGATATGTTAAATGACGGCTTAGGGTTTGAACGCATCGCCGATTCGCCATTGTTTGGCTGAGCTTTGAGCTTTTGGAGTAACAGTTTTAACTTTTACTTAATGGCTATGTTTAGCTTGATCAAGAAATAATCAATTCACCACTCTTAATTTGTAACTTTTCATATGATCAAATTACTTAATTGCTATGTTTAGCTTCATCAAGAAATAATCAATTCACCTCTCTTAATTTGTAACTTTTCATCTTTAGGAACTAAGAGGGTGTTTGGCTAAGCTTATAAGCTGGTCAAACTGGCTTATAAGCACTTATCAAATTTTAACTTATAAGCACTTTAAGTTTGACCAAAATATTTACTATTATATCCCTAAAATACTTCTTTCAAAAACAAAACTCTTCGTATATCCAGTTCTTCAGCTGCATATTATTAATTTCAGCACTTTTATCCAAACACGTAACTGCTTATTTTTTAAATGAGTTTCAACACCTAAAAGTGTTTTTCAGCACCTAATGCTTATCAGCTATTCTAAATCAGCTAAGCCAAACGGGCTCTAAGTTAAGTGCTTATAAGCCAAAAATAAGTCAAAAGTCATAAGTTGGTCTCCCCCAACTTATCAAATTTCAGCTTATAAGCACTTTAAGTTTGACCAAAATATTTACTATTCTATCCCTAAAATACTTCTTTTTAAAACAAAACTCTTTGTATACCCAATTTTTTAGCTGCTTATTATTAATTTCATCACTTTTATCCAAACACGTAACTGCTTATTTTTTAAATCAACTTCAGCACTTAAAAGTGCTTTTCAGCACCTATGCTTATCAGCTACTCTAAATCAGCTAAGCCAAACGGGCTCTAAAAAGCGTCCTAGGTTTTTTGCTCAAGCTTCTAACAAGGCGAAATAGATAAAGCGCCCCTTTAAGTTGTCAACTCAACAATCAACTGAACACCTTAACCGAGGTCATTTCCAGCTAGACACTTTATTTATTCACAAAAGAAGATCAACTAAACACCCGGCCATGTCAGCCCTCATTGTGTGAAATGCACTCTCTCGGACACAAGTTGCCTACCTAAAATTAGGTTTTTTCTTTTTTTTTTTTCCTAAAATAATGTGGACCCACCTAATTTTCGCACCTTCTCCTCCAATTCTCTTCTCCACTATTAAACACCCTCCTCTACCCTAAATCGCCTCTCCCTTCATTACCAAATATATGTTTTCTCCAATTCAACAAATTTTTTTGTACCAAACCCATTCTTCTCCACTAGATTATCCAAACAATTACCATTGTGCCTCTTTAATCTCAACAAAAAGCTAGAGATTCTGAGTATGTTTTGGTCATTTGATGGAAGTGTATGGTCACGTATTCTAATTTTATGCATTTTTCTTGGATGCAAACTAGAATTCTGTAACGAGAAGCACCCTTCTAAAGCAAACCAAAAATATTCAAAAAATTCACAACCACACCCTATCCGTAAAGTATCAATAGCAGACCAAAAATTGAAGTGTTTGATTGATACCCATGTTGAGTTGATGGCTCAAACATGTTCTCCTCATCAAGGCAAAGAGATTGGTATCGAGTTTGCTCCATTTGGACTGCTAGAACTCCACCTCCGTTCAATTCTGTATCACCGGCGATTTGCAGGTCATCGGAGAAGACGATTCCCACGGTGGAATTGTCTGAAATTTGGTGGGGAGGTGGAATTTGGTGGAATTGTCTGAAATTGTATCACCAGCGATTTGCAGACCATTTGATGGAGAATAATCTTCACGGTTTGGAATTTTATTTTTTGACCCAAATGGAAGCAACAAGTCTCTGTTCCTTCAAGTTTTGTCCATTTTTTCTTTTCTTTTTTAAAAATGGCAAAATTACACGTGTCTTTTTTTGATTGGTCCAATTACAAGTCATGGCAAGTGCAACTCATACATATGGTCAACTATACTCGGGTGTTTACTTGACCTACTTAATAGAAATGGCTCGGTTGAGATGTGATCGTTGAGGACAACTTAAATGGACACCTTTATGTATTTCGCCTTCTAACAACTACGTACATAGTATTACTATTGTCAATGTCAAAGATATCTTCCAAGAATATTCTTTTACTTAACTTTTGTTTCGTAAAGAAACAATTGCATAATATTAGAAGCATAATAAGTTTATTCCTTCTCATCAATCATGCAAATAATTAAAAGGACATTTCAATATGATCTACTTTATTTGTTTGTGGAAGTATTTATTTGCACTGCCAGCGCATAACATTTAGGCTCGTCAATATTATTAGATACCTATAACTAGTTGAGACCAATCGATTATTACTTCCTGAAACCTCAATCCACCATCTACGATCTCCACAAATTAATTAAACATCGTACACAATTACTAATTGTGTACTCCCTCCGATTCATATTAGCTGAGGTACTTTCCTTTTTAGTCTGTTCCAAAACAAATGATACATTTTTAAATTTGGAAATAATTCAACTTTAAACTCTTTCATTTTACCCATTTACCCCTAATAAGAAGCTTTTATAGCCATACAAATGTCATGGCCCCACAAACTTTTTACCCCTTAAGCTTTTAAGACCACAAGTTTCAAAAGTCTTTTTCTTTTTTCTTAAACTCCGTGCCGAGTCAAACTACCTCATATAATATGAAACGGAGGGAGTAGTATTTTTCATTCTGGAAGTAGGTTAATTAAACTACGTGCTTAATCATGCTTGTGCAATTCTAGAGTAGTTGTTCCAAACAAATAGGAAACTCTCTATTTATAGAGATGTTCTAAGGAGAGATTCAAGATATATATGATGAATCCAGAAAGGCCAAATTGTTTAACTTTTGTTTGACAAAAATTTGACGAGGCCAATGTGCATAGGAATTCTTGCTCGTGCTTTGTCAAATTATAATACAGTTTAAGATATCGTCCCACAGAGATTGGAACATCTATGCTACGGATTTAGATTATCTTTGTTACTATTTAGGAGAATCGAATTTATGAGTGAGCGAAAGTTTTAATATTTTTAAAGGGCAAAGAACTAATTGAGTAGAAATAATAAGAAAGTGTTGGGAATCCTTGAAGCCACTTGATAAGATTAATATAATAAGATTCAAATTCTAATACTTATTTCTCGAAAGTATAATTGCTTATTTCTAATACAATTATATTTTTTCACTTTTAAGTAACTATCTAAAACACCTCTTCCGATTAGTGTAATTAAATAATTTACAATTAGTGATGATAAGAACAGAAATATTTTCTTGCCTGAGTTGTACCAATAATAACAAAAACCTCTTTCGATTAGTTCTCGTTAGATCAATAGACTTAATCAAATCACTTTCTTTTCCGGATAAAGATTGAACTAAGTAAGACTAAAGACACTTGTAAGTAGCTGAGATTATATTAATTTGTCCAATGACTATTTTATTTATAACTATTCACTTGCACTTTATTTTGCTTCTTCCGAATACAAAATTAGCACAACGGTAGTTATAAAATAGAATAGTTAGATTAGACAATATTAAATAATCAACAGCTTACTTCTTTTGGTACAAAAATTGGAGATTTGGACAGCTTCTCGGACAAGAGCATATAGAACTGAATATATATTATAGTAACTTAGCAAGCTTTTTCAAGTATCCCAACTGGAGTAGTTTACTCCATTATGGAGTAGATAAGAGTACTACTAAGACGATAGAGAAACAGAATACTTCCTAAAAGAGAAAGAAATATTAACTGCCAAAATCTAAGCTAGAGAATCCAATTAAGAGATTGACTCTTCTCTACTACTCTAGCGTACTTTGCCTTACATAGATAGGCCCTATTTATAGGAGAAAATTGCAAGCAAACTAATCCTATGTTGCGACAGTAAAAGTTGACGTCGCGACGCTAATTACTTTATCTTTTCTTCTTCATTGTGCTGCAACAATAAATGTCATCGTCGCGACGCTAATTGTTATATCTTTTCCTCTTCATTGTGCTGCAACAATAAATGTCATCGTCGCGACGCTAATTGTTATATCTTTTCTTCTTCATTGTCGCGACAACAAGAGCAGGTGTTGGATCAATAATGGCATGCTCTTCCTTTGGTTTCTTGATGCACCAACAAGGTATCATCGTCCTTCTTCTTTTTTGTTTGTTTTCTTCTTCTTCTTTTTTCTTTTAATTAATCCTTCCCTGCAAGATTTGTTAGTACTTATAGGAGAGTAAATATAAATTATTCATGCTTTTCTTTTCTTTTTTTATAAAAAATATTATTTATTTACCTATGAAAATACATGAATAATTATACTTATCAATAGATTACCGGCAATTGAACAAGGTCACAATCAAGAATAAGTACCCATTGCCGAGGATTGAGGATCTGTTCGACCAACTTCAGGGTGCCCAAGTGTTTTCTAAGATCGACTTGAGATCAGGCTACCATCAGTTGAAGATTAGGGCATCAGATGTCCCTAAGGCAGCTTTCCGCACTCGGTACAGGCATTATGAGTTCTTGGTGATGTCATTCGGGTTGACAAATGCCCCGGCAGCTTTTATGGATTTGATGAACCGAGTGTTCAGGCCTTACTTGGATTCGTTCGTGATAGTCTTTGTCACACCTCCTTTTTTGCACACCACCCCGAAGGATAGTGTATAAGGGAGTTTTTCCACTTTAAGTGACATTATTCGAAATCGGATTATTTATTTATCAGAGTCGCCACTTGGGATAGTTTATTTTGTGTCCCAAGTCACCAATTTATTTTAAAATCCCAAATCGAGGAAAATTCGACTTTTCTTTTGAAGTCTGCGAACCAGAAATTCTGAATAAGGAATTCTGTTAACCCGAGGGAAGGTGTTAGGCACCCCCGGATTCCGTGGTTCTAGCACGGTCGCTTAAACTATCATAATTGGCCTATTATCTGATTTTAATACATGTTTTAGCCTATGGTGCAATTTTGAACCTTAACCGCTTTATTTAATTATTTTTTTTAAGGAAAATTGCAACGTTTTTTAAAACACGTCTTGAACCACGTCACATAAATGCACTCGCGGTTCTCGACATATTTTATCTAACATTGTTGAGATTTGGATTGGGTCACATAAATGCGCACCCGAGTTTAGGAAGGTAATTTAAAATTACGCGCCTAAAGCAACTACGCGTTTTCAAATTTGCGAGGGCCATGGAAATTCAACTAAATGGCACGCCTCGAATTCTAAGGATTCAAACATTAATTAAGTGAGGGCCGTGAGTTTTGAAATTTTATTTTGCATGGCACGCCT